ATTCGATATTTTTCTTCGTTCCGCATCAGGTCCCCGAAGTACTCAAGCCGTAATTTCAAATCGTAATTCTTGGAATATTCATTTTAGTGGCAACACTTTTTACGGATCGTCCACTTTAAACCAATTCAAATGCCCTTTTTAGTGACTCCTCGTTCCATTTGCCCCTTTCCGTTGTTCTTTTTCTCGATCTCGCCATCTAAAACACATCAAAAGCAACGTCTTTGATATCAAAATATCTGCATATTTAATTTTAAAATAAAGGGGGTAATACCGACACCTGTCGATATATCCCCCATTGGTGTTTCGGCACTACCCCTGTAGGACAAGATGGCGGTAACACAATTCTACAGACTTAACTGAATCTTAAATTGTAATATGAACTATACTAAAATTATCTTTATTAATTGCACTTTCTATTTATCTAAGTGTTTTTATAATAATATAATTTGTTATAGAGTTACCTTCATTTGTAGAGAAGTTCATAATTAGATCAAAAACTAATAAAACAAATAACAATTCAGAATAAAATAACTAGTTAGCCTGGATGACAGAAACTGACTGAGCGCTAATTGTGGTGTCACTCGCTAAGTGACAGTACTATACAGTGACGTGTTCAACTAAAAATAAAATCAAAACCCACTATCGGTATTTCCCCGCATGTCGGGATTCCCCCTGTCTACGCTAGGCGTTCATGCTGGTTGCCAAACGCAGAAGGATCCCCCTTCTTCTCGACTGATTATTGTGCTAATATCCGGAATCACGCAGGAGTTTCTCATGTCTCTGAACCATAAATGTTGCTTGCGAGTAGAACTTCTTCAACCTTCAATTTTGCCCATTAAGATAACATTTAATAGCTTATATTTGTTGTTTTTTAGAATACGATTTAAGTATTAAACCTTTCTCCATTTAAAGAGATCTATTAGTTCCTAATCATTCTGATGGTAGCATAGAGAGTAGTCATATTATCGATTAAGTACCAACTTATAAATATTTCGCTTGGTGTTTAAAAATACTTCTAAACTAAAATCACAAAATAAGATGCAGAACTGAACAGGTAGAATAGGCTTTTTAAAACTGCATAAACCAAATTTAAATTTAGTCGCGCCCTTGAGAATCTTGTAGTGGCATATGCTAATATGGTACTGAGGTATATATTTTGATCTTTAAGTGCCTATCCTCTATGAATTTTGGCTATGAAGTTGGTTCAGATAATATTGATCACTGATCTGAACAGGGTATTAAATATCATTCCGGTACACTGTTTAAGGTTCGTAAGCCATGAGATTATTCTTCAACTAGGTCTCCATTTACCCTAGACCTTTCGTTTTATTAAACTACTCAATAATGTAATTGTTTTGGCCATCAAAACAGCTAATTCCTATATATTTTTGCTTTCTGAAATGATTAATCCTGCATGAGATTGTTCGATTAGTTCTTGATTAAAAAGATAGAGTTATATGTTAATTCTTAGCAACATATATTTGGTTGGCAGAAATTTAGTTTCTGGAAGTTGGAAGAGAAGAAGTGCAGTTTAAGATTCGAATATTTTATCGTTCAGATTTCAGATCAGATACCAATTTTTTTTCCACCCCAAAATTATAAGTTGGAATTAAAAATGAAAACACTATTGCAGAAGATATTATGGGACTAGAATCACCAAACAACTTCACCTCATTCTATGACTCTAATGTTAAAGAATAATGTGATAAACTGCCCAGATTAAGTCAAGTAGAACTGACTTGTCTGCTTGACTCAATCGAGATCTTGACTTGTCACAGGTAAAGGCAGAGCTTTCGGAGTCTACGATTATATTAATGTGATCTTCTTCAATGTGATGTCAGGGTATCGCATTACAGACATCGGCAGTGAGATATGCTGTTTTTTCAAGATCTTGGATCCTGATCCAACTGAGTGGAGGCTATTCATAGACTTCTTTAAACTTAGTTAAAAGATGCAATACTTTAAAACAGCAACCATATATCCTTTATTTCTCTTTATTATGCAGTCCATATGAAGTAGACATATACAAACTTTGTACACTTTGAACATAAATTCAAAATCTGTGGATACCTATCTAAAAATTATTTCAGTTTTTTTAAGAATGCTGTTGGGCTACTTAAAATAGTGCTGTTTTTATGTATGTGGGACAGCAAAGATGATAACTATCCTAATTTAATGAAAATATTACTCGAAAAATTCTAACAATTTGAATGTAACATGTATTGTTCTGAAGCTATTTACTGTGGCATTTCTGAAGCTATTTACTGTGGCATTTACTGTGGCATTTTAAATTAATTACTATTTAACTGTTACTTACTAAGTAACAAAAAACAAAATTTGTTTAATTTACTGTTGGTATTTTGAGAACGATTTCCGAAGTGGAAATGAAACGTCAATAAACGTATTTTTACCTTTAATTGTGGCTTATTCCCAGTTAAATAGTAATTACTGTCTCTTCTCTTCTATTCTCGCTTCAACTTTTTTGCTATCGTTATGAAGATCTGAGTGAGGAGTCTAGAAAAAGACTCCATCAGGATATTTCACTAATTGAAAAAAGGTACCAAGGTCATTGGAACAAAGCTATGTTTGCTCATTACGGCTGACGGCGATCAAACGATGCTAACACCTGAATCTTGAATCTTAGTAACTCTTAAAACATTCTCTCAATTTAAAACTTTTGAAACATAGTTTTAATTAAAGGCAATTTAAGTGGACTCTTGGTAGTTAACCACATAAAAAATATTTGTCATCTATCTCTCAATGTTTAAAGATAAGATATCAAAGCTATTGTATAAAATAATAACTAAAACTAATAAAACAAATCCCTTATAATATCCTTAAGCAAACATTAAAACAAAATTTGTAGAGCAGTGTTATAATTTGGAGGAGATTTTGTATATTTTCTTGAACTGCAAAATATCTACAGGCATACGTGTGGTGGTAAAGATATTACCACTATAATTAAGCGAAACCGCCTGAAGTGGGCAGGACATGTAGCCCAGGCTCCTGAATCAAACATGATAAAAAAGATTCTAACAGCGCAACCCGTGAGAATGAGAAGACGGGATAGACCAAAGCTGAGGTGGCTGGATGGGGTACCACAAGATGCGGAAAAGATCGGAGTCGGCAACTGGAAAATGCAAGCAAGAAACAGAACAGAATGGCGTAGAAAGCTTGAGAAGGTCGAGGCCCTCTAAGGGCTGTAGAACCAAGATGATGATGATGATTTTCTATATTTTCAGAAATATATGAAATACAGAGGTATATTTCCACCACTACTGAATATTTCTATACCCGATTCTTTTGCAATTTTCTATACCCGTATCTAGATACCATATACGTAGTGTTACGATAAATAAAATATAAATAATGAATATATTATAACGTATAAAAACTGTAAATATATTTACTCATTCACGAATGTTCTAGGTCAGAATTCTACAAAAAGGTCGGATAACTAGTTTAACAGCGACGATTCTCTGAATTTATCTACCAAAATGCGATTGACTTTTCGAGACCCGCTGGATGAGTCACCTACTGGATTTAACGTCATCGGTGCATCCCCAGACTTTTCGAGATATCGGCATTTTATATATAAATACCATGAATTTTATTGAGGAAGTTATGTAAAAAGAAGATCGCGGATATCGGGTTAAAATTGTATCGAACGCAAATAAATTATTTCTAATTATTAAGTGTAAAATAAATTAGTATAGAATAAAGACTTTTGATAAATTATCGTGAGTTTTAATAAATTAGAATAAAGACAATAAATTAGAATAAAGACAATAAATTAGGACTAATAAAACCATTATAAGGGTCATCAATTCGGTACCTTAGATTTCATTTATTATGTTGCTATATCCTAATCTAAACATTACGTTGCCCAGGTTGTCTCGCATTCTATATTATTCAATTCTCGCTTTCCCCTTATAACGATGTGCAAAGGAGGGAGGACCACTAGTGTCTCCACAGTTGCTGTTGGTGTGCACCTGTGAGTCCAAGACAAGCAAGTCTTGGAATTGTTAGATTAGATTTGTTAAATTAGTGAGTGGATTTAGTGTCTGCGGTTACATAAACCCAAATAAACAACAAAAATAGATTTCAAGTCATCCTCTTGTTTAATATTACTCGAAGGTACTTTACTTCACTCACCAGATTTAGATTTTTACCATTTAGGTTTACTTAGAGGACCCAATCCCCTTTTTGGACTTCTAGGGGCTTATGTTAAGCCTACAATTGAAGTTCATTTTCTAACTACAGTCAGAGCTCGTTCCATTATATCTCTTTAATTCTCATTCAATTTACCGCAGAATAAGATGAAGCTAAGTCTAGCTACCAGTCCATCAATTACCACATTTTATAAGAGGGGAGATACAACCCCCTTTGCTGACAGCCTCTGGTTACCTGTATATTTCAGTAATGTTGCATATATCACACGGCTATGCAGTATTCATGCAGCATGGTTGCATTCATCTGCAGCTTGTTTCATCGCCTCTTTTTAGACCAGGCACCTGTGTGATTGCTTTATAGGAGATGTTATTGAATGCTTCCTCTATATTGAGAAATTTACCCGACCTAACCTCTTGGAATTTCAGAACGTACTCACACTCTCTACCGTTGCAGTACCGCTTCCATAGTATACCTGCTCCATACACACAGGTATTTGCATAAAAGTTCACCAAGTTGAGTTATAAAAGCTACCCCTATGAGCCTCCAGGCTTTTGATATGTACCCCTCAGTCTTAAGCTAGCCTGTAGTATCAAAAAAAACTTTTTATACAGAGAGCTTTTTTCCGTCTATGGAAATATGGAATGAATACCGTCTGGTCCAGGTGATTTAGATGGTCAACTGAGTTTAGTACCCCTCTTTGATTGTAGTGGAGACGATTGATAATCATTAATTTTATTTTTTGGTATTTATTTTCATCCTCTATTGTTACTGCCCCATTCTATATTCTATTTAAAAATTATTTTTTGAAATTTAAAATAGGTACTTACATTAGGATATAAACACAATGTATGTGATCTATTTTCGCACAAGGAACAGTAATCCACTGCAACTACAGAGTATACTATTCGCAACAACACGATAAAACGGTACAGCATTCTATTTAGTTTTGTCATTTTGACATAAACAAAAGGAAATTGAGTTTTAAAAAATTTAGTGACATATAATGCGATGTCTTAATACTACTTTGTTAAAATCTATTAAAAATTTAATATAAGTTGTACATTTTAACTGAAATGTAATAAAATAAGAACAAAATTGCCTAATTTTCATCTTTATTATTTTAAAAACACGCAACTAAAATTATTGCGAAATTTAGAATTAAGAAACTAAATCACCAATCACCTTTGCCTGTATCCCGATAACAGCACATCATCTTCTTTTTGGTTTGAATGACCATATGCCTTTCGGTTGTCAGCCTAAAATTAGTTTGATTTTCTTAATTATCTTTCATCATTTCATTATGTAAATTAAGCTTTTAATACCCTTATATTTATTACCTAAACACCGAATATAAAATTCAGTTTATATTTTTAATTCATTTAAATATGGTAGGTATATTAATAAAATAGCGTATTAATTAAATCTGTAAACAAAAACTCTTGTTGTTCATCTGTTTCATTTTTTTAATATAATATATTCTCTAATAATATTTTCGTCAATGTTATCAATGCTTTTATTAATTTAGGGTTTTGTAATACATTTACTGGATCCTGCAAGCCTGTATTGAACTTTTTCGCCAAAAGCTAATTTAGCTACGTCGTATCGATCTTCAGGAGTAGTAGCTGGAACGTTGCAAAAAGATATGTTAAAAAAGTGTGCAATCGCAGCTTGATTATTGCATAAAGCACCCAATTTCTTCCACTTTCGCAACTGCAAAATCCTGTTGCTATATCGACTTCGTACAGTACACTATTATTTTGCTCACTAGGAACTTTGTATAAATTTTTAGAGAATTTAATTATATCTTTTTGTTGTAAATTGACTTTTTCTGAGTTGATTGACTGAGTCATTATGGAGCTGCATCTCTACTATTTGCAAAATTTCGAAGTCAGCATTATAAGCTTTGTTTCTATGTAGAACTATGTCTTTAAAACTTGTTACTGTTACTTCATTGAAATTGTTGGTTTGGTGGCCATATGTTGGTGCGTCCCTATAAGCGAAGCACCAATCTCCCTTTCTTTTCCAATAGTCAGTAATATATTTCTTTCACTGCGGAAATAGTTGGTTTTCAAGAATAATCTTAAATGACTCTGTGGCATTCTCTATAGTCGATGCTAATAAATATAGCTTGAAATGTTTTGAATAAAAGTTGTCGTTCGTCTTGGGGTATTCCATTTTATTTTCACAAAACCAGCGCCAAACTGATTGGCATATATGAAAACGACATAAAATTGTTTGTGATGCTGGCCAAACACGTTTTAAGGCTTTTCTTTCCGCGTCACTACCATCTGTAATACATATTTTAGGATAACCCACTTCACCAAAGGCATTTGGTATTGGCCCTTTAAGGAGATGGTATGCTACAAGCATAATCGTCAATTTTTGACCTTTGGTAATAATAACTGCCAAAGGCACTGCTTCTATTCCACAAGGGGTTAACATAAACGAAACCGAATGGTTTAATGCATCGCAAGAAGCTGTGGTATCTGTAGAAACATCTTCTGCAAATGGGAGATTGTGTACACGTTGCATAATAGGTGTTACAACAATGTCGGCAAACTGGATTTCATTACATTTTACTAAAATTCCTTCTGCTTCATAAACCTCAATTTTTTGTATTATTTTATAAAAAAAACCGAAAAAGTTAGTAATTTTAGAAACTTTTACCGAGACTCTCTTGAACTCCAAAACTCCAGTTCCATCGCGAGGTCCCAAATTTTCAGTTCTCCATATATTATGCCAATGCTGCACTGTACGATATTTTGGATTAATTTCTGAATTTGCTAAAAAATTTTGTCAAAGCCAATTTCAAATTTAAATTTGGACTCATGATAAACTAGAGACTCTTTAATTCCCATTCTATTATCAAAATACTTTTCTTTTGTATTAGTGGGTGGACGAAGGTATGAAAGGGTTTTAGCTGATTCTAAATTATGATTATGCTCGCCAATTATACTTATAATACCTGGCAAACCGTCCTTAAAAAATATGTTCTGATATTTTAAGTATCTTCCGTTAATAAGAATTCCACTATTTTCTCAATATATATTAAAGATATCTTCTAGGACAGCTGTAAATAATTTTGGAGATATTGTGTCTCCTTGTCTTACATCTCGGTTGATTTTTACTGGTCTTGTTTCGATTCAACGTCACTACTATTATTAGAGCATGCAATTAAATAATAGGATATATTTATACTTCATTAAAAAATAGGAAAGCTATTTCAAAAGAGTTCGTTGATAAGTAAAATTTCCCAAACTGTGTGGGGGCCTTTGATGTGAAGCATATTACGTTGCAAGCACCTATCCATAGCGGCACAGAATATTTCAACTACAAGGGGTTTTTCAGTATAGTTCTATTTGCGGTGGTAGATGCGCACTACAACTTTACCTACGCAAATGTTGGCTGTCAAGGAAGAATATCAGACGGAGGTGTATTTAGTCACACAACATTCAAAGATTTTGCCTTCAGAAGAAGACAAGCATCTTCCTCCTCCTATTGCTCTTCTTGGAAGAATAGATGAAACACCGTATACTTTTGTGGCCGATGATACTTTCCCTTTGTCAAAAAACATTATGAAACCATTCCCAGGTGTTCAAAATAAGAATTCCAAGGAAAGAGTGTTTAACTATCGGTTAAGTAGAGCGCGTAGAGTGTCACAGAATGCGTTTGGCATAATATCCTCTGTGTACCGCATACTACGAAGACCTATGCTATTACAACCATAGCGGGCTACGATGGTTGTGTTGGCAGTACTTTATCTGCATAACTACTTGAGAACAAGTAACTCCAGAACTTGGAGACAATCCCCTTCAAATCAAGCTTTGGTCAACATTCCTCGAACTTCAAGAAGAAGCGCTGCTGAGGCACAAGTCGTTAGAAATGAATTTTCAGACTTCTTTACTTCCCCCTGCTGGAATAGTATTCTTCCAACACGACAAATAATAAGCTCCAAACTATGTCATATGTGTTGTATATTAATATAAAATATAATTACTAATCATTCTATGAACTTACTGTGTTAATATATATTTACCTGCGCGATTGTGTCCGTCGTTTGTTTAGGTGTATTTCGATCCTTGAGTAATAGCATGTTGTTGAAGCAGAACCATTTACTTTTGTACACATTAGAATTTCCGGCACCAGATTTACTTGAATCTCTCTCCCTCTTTACTTCACGTAAAAAATGACGCGCTAGGTTCTTGATTTTCCTTTCCACAACTTCTTTAGCAACACCAAAAGTATCTGCGATTTATTGTAGAGCATCTTGTTTCTTATTTCTATCTTTGTACACTTTCAAACGACAGTCCCACAGAACAGAACGATCACGGTAAAGCTCAATAAGTTCAAACAATTTTGCGTTGTTCCACTCCATGACTGCATACAGCGCTGTCTCATCCCCAACTGATTCTGAACCACGTGCGTGCCGCGTGAAGCGAACGGTTGGCTCGTCCCCACTACCGGCTCTCTCTGGCTTCCTTTGATGGAGACCGACACTAAAGCGATTTTCGTTGGCAAACGATGTAACTAATGTATATACCATTCCATATATGAATTTCGCACCAAAGTAATATTCGATATATACTAGTTTGCCACCTCGTCGCATATTGAAACATGCTCGCGTACCGCAAAGGACCATTATAAAAGTCCTAGTTGCCAAATACTATATACGAAATGTTTAGATGCCTACCGCATACAGTAGTGGTGGCTGGTGATAATTTTATGTATGCGGACGCTGATCCGAGAATACCAAAAAATAAATACAGTTGTATCCATGGTTCTTTACCTGTACATCATCATTCAAAGCATACGAAATAAGTCGAAAATTTACTCCACGCAACACCAAGTGAAGGAAAATGACTACTGCTCCGATCACGGATTATACACTTGAGTGCAAAACAATCGACTCAAAAGCGATATTTGAGATTATACCTTCTGTTTCAATGTAAGAAGTATGAAAATAAAATGATGTAATGTGCAAACAATAAACTTATTATTGAACTTACAAAAACTGCTATTGCATTATTTGGAGGACGTATTATAAAAACAATATGCAATACGAACAGAGTTTCCTAAATATTGATCATTGGAACTAACGCAAGAAAGACGTTATGAACAGAGAAATCATCAATTACAAAATGAATTTCTTTATTTTTTCAGTATTTGATATTATCACCCCTACTCCTAATTACACTTTCCAATCGATTCCGCATACATCGGATGAGTTTTCTGATAAATTCTTGAGGCATTGCTTCCTATTTATCATTAAGGGCAGCCTCAATTGCATTATGCTCCTTGGTGCATGGTTTATGTTCCTGGCCCTTCGTTTAAGGTCATCTCAAACATGAACTATTGAATTTAGGTCCGAGTTCAACGCAGGCCAATTTATTGTAGGTATACCGATCTAAGTCAGATAGTTGGTGGTGACTCGTGCGGTATGGCATCATGCATTATCGTGCATTAAAATAAAGGCATCACCAAATAAATGAATCCCGCGTATGGAACCACATATTCCTCCAAAATGTCTTTGATGTATCCATCCGCCTTTAAACCTCCTCCGCCAGGCACGAAAACCAATTAGATCTGCCCAAAACATCCAACTGCCTCCATATGACACAATTTCTCGTATACAACATTAAGCAAATCGCTCTCCTGGCCTTCTATAGACTCGACGCCTCTTGTCGTTGCCCTGTAGGCAGATTCTACTTTAGTCGGAGAATAATACCTAACTCTATTGATAGTTGTCCCAATCCAGATGTTCGGGAGCAAATTGTTATCGCCTTTGCTCTGGGCTGCAGTTAGCTTGGGACCCGTAGCTGCCCTTTTTGGTGTCATGTTGGCTGCCTTTAATCTCCTTCTGACTGTCCAAACGCTGGTAACCACACCTCGGACCTCTCTAAGCTCTTCTTTGAGATTAGCACTAGTCAAATTTCGATTTCTAAGGGATTTCGATACAAGGAATCGATCATCTCTCTCTCCGTTGTTATTCGTTTATTAACACAAAATTAACACTTTTAAGATTGAAACAAGAGACGTACTTTCGCAAAATAATTTTTAGTCGATTATTTTGCATTCAAGTGTATTATAAAATTTGACGTTATCAAATAAATAAAATGTTAAGTTTTGCTTTAAAATTTTGTTGCAGAATTACAGCTACATTTGAAGTAGCTTAATAAATTCTTTTAATACCATTAGTGATTAATAAATAGATAAACAATTTATAAAAAAAATATAATTTATTATACAATAATATTTACAGCGTGTTGATGTAAAAGTAACATTATTTAAAGAATGAAACATAAAGTCTCTAGCTCAAATAATATTGTTGCAAGATTTTGAACATATGTTTTCAGTTTCTCATATTTCATTTTCATCACCTTCAGAATCTGAACTGTTATCTCCAATGTTAATTATTACAGGTTCGATATTAATAATACAATATTTTCTTCTCTAATAAACCACTGTTCAATTAATTTATTAGATGTTCTACATAAACTTTTTTATTTGATGAACATCTCTAAATGGACTCTGAACAGGCAGGTCACGGTGTAGGTCAAACACAAAATATGGGGCTATACAGAGTAAAGTGTGACTATGACGAAGTGAAAAATCCTGAACATCTATTGGTTTGTACATACTTGACTCAGGCATGCACTCACCTTGACCGAATGCCAGCTAATAACAGGACCGTCCAAATAGCAAAACCTTGGCCTCAACACGCGCATATGGAGCTTGTTTAAAACATTGATTATTAACTGGGCACCCAATTTAAGTTCATTATAGTATTTAGCAATCTATAAGAAAGTTAACATCAACAGAAAAGAATTCAAGGCAACCACAACACAATGCAGAAGTCAGAATGGCGACCTATTAACAACAAGGAAAGATGTATTGAATAGAGAAGTGGAATACTTTAACCAGGCACTAAATATAGAGGAAGAAGAAAGAGATGAGGCAAGGGGAACAGACGAGAGGGAAGAGAAACCACCAACGATTCTTGAAGTTAAAGATGCATTTAAAAAACTAGCCAGAAACAAATCACCAAAGGAGATATCTTTCAATGCTCTAACTCTAACCACAGAAGAATTACGCTTCTAAATACAGCATATAAAATATTTTCCACAGTACTATGTCATCGTATGGCACCATATGCAAAACAAATAGTAGGAAAATACTAGGCCGGTTTCAGAGGCGGTAAATGGACAATTCATCGGATTGCAACCCTGAAACAAATTTTGGAAAAACACTGGAATATGGCATTGATACTCATCACATATTTATAGACTACAAAGCAGTTTATAACTCTGTGAATAGAAGAGAAATGTTCAAAGCAATGAAAGAGCTAGGAATACTAAATTAGTTGGTAAATTTAACAAAACTAACTCTTGAAAAAGTTGAATGTAGAGTACGAATTCATTGGGAACTGTCTGAACCTTACAAAACAAATAACGGGCTGCGCCAGGGAGACTTTCCAGTATACTGTTCAATCTGATAGTAATATGTATTATGGCTCTGGAAAAAGTAATATGTATGTCATAAATCACAACCACTGTAAGAAAACGCTGTAAGAGAGGCGTATGTAGCATTAAAAGAATCAGCTACAAAAATGGGTTTGATAACCCACCAACCACATAAACCACCAACAAAATGAAGTATATAAAAATAAGCACGCAACTACAAATACTACGACCACTTGTTATAGAAAACGACGTCATCGAAGCAGTGAACGAATTTGTATACCTGGGAGCGCTCCTAACACTGAAAATAATACTACCGCAGAATTTGCACGGCCCACAGATGCTATTTTAGGCTCAATCTCCTCCTTAAATCCACAGTTATACCGAGAAATACAAAAATAAATCTCTACAAAACTATAAAACGTCCAGTCCTAACATAATTCAGAGACCTGGACTCTAACAAAAAGTAATGCAAACATTTTTGATGATGTTTCGAAAGAAAAGTACCAAGGCGAATTTATAGATCAGTGAATGACAATGGAGTGGTGAGAAGACGATACAACTTCGAACTTTACAGAATATACCAGGAACCTGATATTGTAAAACATATTAAGATAGGACGTCTTCGGTAGTTAGGGCATGTAATGTGGATGGAACAAAATGATCCAGCTAGAAAAACGCTCCTTGATAGACCCATTGGTAAGAGAAGAAGAGAAAGACCTAGAACAAGGTTCCTTGATAACATCAATGAAGATGTGCTTGGTAGGACAATTGAAGAGAAATTCTTAAGGAGGCTAGGACCCACATAAGGTTGTAAAGCCAGAATGATGATGATGATTAAGAGGCTACATCAGCGCGTCATCAAGACGGAAAACGCGTTCCAAGATTGCAGCTTTAATTTTAAATATTTTGACGAGATATTTGGCACACATATAAGTGATATAGTAAAGAATGGCGTTACGAAGCCCAATTTGAGAAATATGTTAGTAAGTGGAAATTACTCTGCAACTAAATAAAATATTACAAAAACGAGTTTTTACCGCAATTAAGAAAAACAAAAAAATACACTTTCTTCAAATAAACTTTTTTATCCCAAGCCTAGATTTTGTGTCACATTGGAATTACTAAAATCAACCAAAATCAATCAACTATAACAAGAAATCGAACTTAACTGAGTGAGTTGGCAACATAGAGGAATAGTCACCGCTATCACATTTGCACTTCTACGTCTGTTTTCTGTGTAAGTGATAGCACGATTCTGCTCTGTTATCTGTATCGATATCTGTTCATTCAGTAGTGTATTATTTTGAAAATACTGAAATTCGAGTTTTGATTCATAGTAAAGTAGTGTTTGTTTAAAATTAATTTATTATATTTGGGTAATAGAACTGAGTTGTCGGACTATTTGAAAAAAATAGATTATTATTAATTGTGGGTTTTAAAAGTCTATTTTTCGTAAAAATATTTCAAATTCTAATGCGAGTATATAGTCTTAGGAGGATTTTTTATTCTAGAAATATAAGTGTTTTTGAAAATGGGAAAAATTTCACAAGCGAAAATTAAAGTCACGCCTTCCAAGAAAAGGTCCAGTAAAAACCGCGCTAAAACGATTCGAAAATCGAAATTAGAACCACCACAAATTTTAATAATGTAAGTGTAAGTATAAGCAATCCACTGTTGTCATAAATAAAAGGTGTGAAAAGTTGTTTCCCATGAAAATGAAATTGGTAATAAATCTGTATTGAGGTACAGAAATCCTCACTAAAGTACAAATGCCAATTTTTTCAGGTAGATAGATATTCATTGGCGACAATATTTCCGAACTTATGTTTTTTATTTGCTATAATTCAGAATTGATGCTATGGAATCAATCTGTAGTTCATTTCTTACGGCTAAACTGTTTGATATATATACGTTAAAACTTATAAGTAGAGCTCGGATCGAGCGAGCAATTTTCAGGGTAGTATTTCCTTTATAGGTACTTCATTTGTTTAGATGTATACATTATTAATTTAGGTAGGTAATATATTGCGACTGCTTGTGCATTCACTAAGCAAAAACCAAAGTATTCTCGACATTGAAGTGCAGCAGTTGAAGTGGCGGTATTGGGCCATTGACAAATGGATAATCGACAGTCTATCAGAAAACTACCTCGTGCATCTGGTCTATGAGCATCTAGTGTTTATCGAATTATAAAATACTATAAATTTTATCCTTATAAAATACGATTACTTCATCAATTAAACGAAGATGATCCTGATCATCGACGTCAAATTTGTGAACAATTTAGTGAAATCATAAAAACAACCAACATCGATTGTACGTGTTTTTCCGACGAGTGTACTTAGTAACAGTAATCCTCATTTATTCATTGATACACATACACAAACACCTCAGAAACTAAATGTATGGGTTGGAATTTTAGGGAATCACGTTATTGGACTATTAGTTTTTTAAGGCAATCTCAACGGAACAACTTATTTAAATTTGTTAGAAGAACTGAAGAAGAAAAATGACTTCCTAACAGGAAAAGGCATCCCCACATTATGATATACGCGTAAGACAATTTTTAAATCAACAACGTTTTCCAGGGCTTTGGATTATCAGAAGGGGTCCAATGGAGTAGTCGGCCAGATAACCGGATCTTTTGCCTTTCACCTAATATAAAAAATATATATGCCACTCCGTCTGTCGATCTTACCGAGTTTTGACAAAGGATTGTGACAGAATGCCGATTATTCAGATCGGAAGTATTTGCAAATGTACGAAGGGGCTTTGAAAATATACTGTATTATTGTATGTAGGTCACAGGAGGACATTTCGAACATTAAATTGGTTAATTTGATGAAATTTTATGTTTTTCTTATTACTTATGTTCAACCAATAAATTAGCAAAAATTATCTTCAGTTATTTTGTAAATTATTTAATTTTGACAAACTCTTGGTTTCTGAGCTTCTGGGACGGCCAAATTTTTGTTGAAACACACTGTATATTATTATTAAATTTATGAGCGGTATTTACTAATTCTTAAGCTAAGATGTTTTATACTAATTTTCGTAAAAAAGGTTTGTTAAAATTTATATGCTTATGTTTATGCTTTTTTATATAATAGATAAATAATAAAATATTTTCATAAAATCTTTAAGCTTTTTGTGCGTTTCTTTATGCTTTTAAATCCGATCCGAACTCTAATTATCACAACATTGTGCCTTCGTCTTTGATAATGTCACGTACTGCCGACGCACTGTTGCCAAAGATTCGCAGAACTTTTGAAAGACGGTGCGGCCACCATTTCTCGAATTAATATTGATGACGCGCTGATGTAGCCTCTTAATCATCTTTTATTTTTTATGAACTCTACCAATATATTCCTCTTTTATACTCAACTTGTTTCTGCAAGATGTGTTAATTCATGCTTCCTTAAAGTAGATTCATGTTTCAACTTTTTACTGCAAATATTACATTCAAATTTTTTTTCTTTGACATGCTTAGTTTTTTTATGTCTTAACAGAGCATTTGGTTGCCTAAATGACTTATGACAAATACTGCACACATATGGTTTTGTGTTTGTATGGATGTAAAGATGGTGTTTTAGAGAGTTTTTCACTGTAAATTGTTCCCCACAAATACCGCACAAAAACCGTTTAGATTTTTCATGAACTACATTCTTGTGTCGTCTTAAGTTAGATTTAATAGAAAATGATTTATTACATATTTTACATACATAACGTTTGTCATTTTTGCTACATATACTGCTATGTTCCATAGATAACAAATGAGCATCATCTGTCACTGTTTCAGTCTCAAAAGTATGGGAGCGATTGCAATTTATATATGATATCTCTGACGATTCATCATTCAAATATTGGGATGATAATTTATTACAACTGGAAGTTTGTCCTTGATGTTCAGTTTCCTGTAAGTGTTGATCAGTTCTATTGCAGTCAGTTTTATCTTCTATCAAAACCTCATTTAAATCGTTATCAGGCTGGTATTCGTGACCATTTAAGTTCTGTTCTATTATTATTTCAATCTGATTTTTATTACCTTCTAATAAAATATTCTCTTGCTCATTCTTGAAAGCCAAATTATTTTTATGCTCTAAATTCTCACTTTCTCGGTGTACTGCTTGATAGTGATTCTGCTGGTATATCTCTTTAAATAGTTTTGCACTCCGTCTCAACTTCTTGATGAACAAATTTACCAATTTCAACTCATCCAAGCAAATCTGGCAAATGTTGTAGGAGTATGAAACATCTTCCTAAAATATAGTATTTATTAGAATTTGTATGCAGAACTGATAAATATAGAATAAAACAGTACTAATGTTTTAAATGTATTATTAAAAATGTCTAATCTCCAATACTATAATCACGGCGTATGGGAAATCAAAATCAATTCCTTTGTATTTTTTACTTTAACCCCAGAGGGACTGCGCATGGCTCCTACCTTCAAAGACCAACTGAAGTAATCTTCCCACTAGAAGTTTATTTTGAAAATTCACGATACAAAGTCTTTTTGTATTTGAAATGAATTTATTTGACAAACTTTCTAACAAAATTGTGAATATTTAAAAACATGAAATATATGAAATACAGCAAATGATTAATTTTATTTATAATTTATACAAAGGTATTCTTTTGTTACTTTGGTACATTCCAAACAATGGTACTTTACATTATGTTTATTTTATTACATTTAAATGCAATTTCCCAAAAGTCTTTCCGAAGCACTCACAGAAAGTTCTTCTTCTTCTCTTCTTTTTTGGCGCTACACAGGCAATTTGCCAGCTCCATACGTGGGAATTCCAGATAATCCAGTATCCTGTACTCCTGTGAATTTCGATAGCTAAAACACAAACTATAACTGCGGGTGTGACACTTTACACCTGCAGGTGTAATATTATTTTTCTTCGGAAAGGATTTTTTTTAGGTTAGGTTGAAAACAATGACGTGTAGAACGCCATTGCATGGGTTGAAGGGTGAACGGTGAACCAAAATACAATAGCTGTTAAGATTACAATTCATGTACAGTCGATTAAATTTTTATTTTATTATAAGCTAAGAATTGGATTAAAAATTTGCTGATTTCAAAGTTTAAATTGGCAAAACCTTTTTTTTTTAATGAAAATATATGGATCTACTCCTGGAATTTTATTAATGGGACATTCAAAGAATATATGGTTTAATGTTTGTGTTGAGCCGCATTTACAGTATGGATTGTCTTTGATGCCAATTCGGTGAAAATGTTCTCCGGTTAGGCAATGTCCAGTATGCATTCTGGTGATCATGGTTATATGCCGCTTATCAACGTATGGTAGCTTGTTGAACCATTTAGTTTGCGAGAAATTCTCTTGAATTAAGGCATATTGCTATCCGTTTTGTTTCAATGATTCCTTCCATGTTTGAAGGAATTCTTCTATCATATTGTTTTTGATAATGTTGGATATCTCTCCTGTGTCTGTTTTAATGTATTTTGGTACATTTTCCTAGAAGTAATGGTTCTACCTAGATTGGCTAGTGTGTCGGCCCCTTCATTACCTAGAATGCCTGCATGTCCTGATATCCAGGCAATTAGGATGTTGTTATTATTGTTATTGTTGTATTAATATAAAGTTTTTTGTTATATAGGTAATGTAATCTTCGGAGTCTGTAAAAATTATGGCATTTTTGAGGTCTTTTCGTAGTATGGTTGATATTCCCTTATTTATAGCTATCATTACCGCTGTTGTGATGCATGCTTCATTTGGCAATCTAGATGAAAATCTGTATTCAATTGATGGGGTGTATATGCCAAAGCCTACACTGTCTTTTGTTTTAGAAGCATCTGTATATACAAAAATATGTGAGGATATCATTGTTTCTGTGGTCTCTAAAAATTGATGTTTGATATTTATATTAGATTTGGCTAGTTTTAAATCTAATGTTTCAACAGGGGTTATAATATAGTCATATTCTATATCATAGCAAGAAGGAGATTTGGACTTATGTATTTTTTCAAAGAATGGTATATATTTGTAGAATACTGAAATGAGATATGGTGTAGTATTGATTCCCTGTAGGTCCGCTGTTTCATTATAATAAGAATGTAATTTATTTAACACTAATATTAGGGGGTGGTTTATAGTTGACATAGGTTTAATTAAGAATTTGCTAGCTTATATGTTTCTTCTTGTTTCTAGATCCATTATGGAGGCTTCTGCAAGTAGAACATTTTTTGGAGTAAATCTCATACAGCCCAAATAGACCCTGATTCCTTCATAAAAGATAGTATTCCTTTTTTTCTAGATTTTTTTTATGTAGGCTTAATGAAAATTGCTACCACATCTAGGTGGGATCTCACCAATGCGTTGAAGATATTTAGCAGTGTTTTGGGGTCGGCACCCCACCAGACTCTACTGATATACTTTAATGTATTAAGAGCTTTTTTTGCTTTATTTGAGATGTATTCTATGTGTTGGTTCTATTTTAAATTTTTATGTAGGATTGCTCCCAGGTATTTTACATTGTTACTAAATGGTATAATTTTATTGTCTATGTTAATGTTTATGAATGCATTTTTTCTTCTCCCCTTGGTGAACCATACTGCTTTTGATTTGTCATTGCATAGAGATAGGTTTTTTTTTAGTCATATGTTTAATTTTATAAGGTGTTTGTTAATTTTTCCTGCCATATTTGTAATATTATTACCTTTGCAAACTAGTACCAGGTCATCTGCATATCCTATTATTTTCAAATTCTCATTTATGAGTCTGAAAAGATCATATACATAAACATTGAATAGAATTGTGCTGAGAGAAGAACCCTGTGGGATTCCTGTTGTGCCTACCTCGGGTCCTATGAAAGAACCATCCATTTTTCTAGTATATAGAGATCTATTTTCTAGTACTTTGAATATGAGATTTGCTAAGTCACTAGGCATGGCTAGATTTATCAGTTTGTCATAGAGATTGTATATATTGATACCTTCATATGCAGACTTAATATCCATAAACATAGCTAGAATAAATTCATTTTCTCTGAAAGCAAGCTGAATCAGTGAGGTGATATATGCTAGGTTATTCTGAATCTCTAACCCTTTACGGAAACCCGTCTGAAAGGCGTTGAAGGTATTATTTTTTTTTTGAAGGTTTATTTTAAGTGTTTTCACATAACAAGACGATCGTAAAATATAGGTCTCTAATTTTCCAGATTTTTGGCATTTTACCCTGGTATTCCAAGAACTTGGAATGGGTTCATCAGCGAGACATTGATTATATATTCTTAATACGGCTGTTTTGGCACTGTGAAGAAGATTTTTAATCATAGGACATGACAGATCATCCATGCCTGGTGCAGAGTTATTTTTGTCTCTAAGGCTTATGTTAAGCTTGTCTATTGTAAATGATGAACTCATATAGTTTATTTTAAAGCTAAAATCAGGGATGATATTTACTATTGTCATATTCTTCAGGAATTGTTGTCTTTTCAAGTCATCAATATTTGTTGTGTTGTATTTTTTCCTTTCATCATAGAATTTTTTAATTTTTTCCCATACATAAGATATGTTTGAATTTCTTTTTAGTGTCCCACAAAATTCTATAAGTTTATTTTTTTTCTTAATTTTTAAGGAAAGTTTTGGTTTTGCTATCTGTTGCTTTGCAGTTACATAGGTATCTAGGGTTAGTGAGGAATTAGAATATTGTATTGCTGTTTTTCTTTCTCTGATGATGTTTTTGCATTCTTCATCCTAGCAGGGGTTACTTATCTTATTTGGTTTATTATGAATTTTGCTTGGAATACTTGATTTTGCTGCTAAGTTAATTAGTTTATTTAAATCTTCAAAGTTTTTTATCTTATTGTTGATGCTCATTTGTTTTGAAATTATTTCGTGATATTCATCACAGTCCGCTTTAAGAAAGTTCCTTGATTAAAAGGTGTGTATTTTGTGGTTTGCCATGTGTTGATCGCTTTTTTTTTATTAAAGTTTAGCATCATTGGAAAGTGATTACTATTTCCAAAATCAGGAATTACTCTCCAGGTAGAAGCAGCAGTAAGCGTGGTTTGGAGGCAACCATTGTGATGTCCACTGCACTGACATTGTTGTTGGGGGACTGTAGTAAGGTGCCTGTTCCGTCATTCATTATTACCAGATCATTATTTAGTATGTATTAGCTAATGGTTCTGCCTCCAGTGTTAGTATATACTTTATCCCATAATGGGTGGTGAGTTTAGATCTCCCATGAGGATTGAGCTATGAATTGTTAACTTGTGGTATATTTCATTGAGAACTGTAGTGGTGATCTTACTGTTGGGGATTGCATATATATATATTTATTAGATGGATATTTGCTATTTTGATAGTAATATATTGAATGGAGTCATTGTTGAAGTCTCTGATATATTTGAATAGGATATTATTTTTAATACATGTTGCAATTCCTCCATATCCATCGTTTCTGTCTTGTCTTAAAATGTAAAAATTATTTAAATGAAAGTAGTGATTAGGTTTTAGAGATGTTTCATTTAAGAAGATAATGTCTGGATCATATTTTCTTATTAATGTGATTAGATTTACTCTGTGTGAATTTACTCAGCGAATACTCCACTAAAGAATTTTTAATTTGACATTTGTGTTAGTCATGTGGATTTTATGTAATTAATTAAGAGTAGTGAAGTGGCTGATATATTTTAAAATAAATTGATTAATGATGAAAGCTATAATATTATTTGAAAGAGAAAGAAAACTAGAAAAATTTGAAAAATAAGATAAGGTGGAAAATATTATATTTTTAAACAATATTGATTTGTGGATTATCTAAATACATATACATGTTTCTGTAGAGATTAGTATTTATGAAATTTTTTATGTAATTTTGATCTTGATTTGATAGGGATTTGAAGTTATGGAAGAAAGTTTTAAAGAATTGTGATTCATCTTTGAAGGATGAACCATTGTCTTGTGTGGTCTGCTTAAAGACACTAGTAGGCAAATCTAATTGACAATCCTGAGATTTAGAAGTTGTAGGTCTCTGGGTTAATGGTGAGTTCTTTTGTGAACCCCTTTCTGGTCTGGAGTTTGGAGCTATAAGACACGCATTATGTTCATCTACATTGTATTTTTCTGAGGCAGGTCTTTTTTTGAATTCTCTGTTTCTAGAGTCTATTGGCATGTTCTCGTTCTTATGTTAAAATCTGTGTTTCTTTTTTGTGACGGGGTAATTTGCTTTGTTGGTTATAAGCGGTATTTGGGAGTTCGGAAAAGTCTTGTGGTTTATAAGTAATTTCATTATGGGGATTTAGTCTATTAGTTCTACTTGTGACATAAGTTTTTTTGCAGGACTTTTTGGCATCATAGTAGGTTAGGTTATAATAGGCCATTATCGTTTTAATTTCAATTTGCCTTTTATATTCTGGACATGCTTTATCTATTGACTTATGATTTTATTCACAGTGGAAACATTTTACCGTGCAATTATCATTGGACTCACTGTATTCTTTGCTTCCACAAATAAAACATTTTGGTTTGGATCTACAGTTCTTTTTTGTGTGTTCATAGAGAAAGCATGAGTAGCATTGTGACACTGGAGGGATATATATTATTACTGGGTATGCTAGTTTGTATATTTAGACATATCTGGGTAAACATGTGCCTTTGAATGTAAAGCTAATGGTTCTTGTGGGATGATATTCAGGTTTGTTGGTTTCTGTGTTAAAAGTTTTTCTTTTTAACCTGGTTGCACCTAATTATTTTAACTGATACCTTAGAAAAGTCTGTGAATTCTGAAATATCTACATCTTCTTCAATGCCCCTTACAATGCCTTTGCAGGTAACAAGATTTGTAGGAATAAATAGGTTGTAACCTTTTTCTTTGAGTTTTTAATTTTTTACAAAATCATTTGCTGCTTGATAATTAAAAAATTCTATGGATAACCTATTGGTGTCTTTGTTATCAATTTTTTTTACATCTTTTAGCTGCAAATTAAAGATTTCCCTTGTTATTTTTAGGTTATTCAGCCTTCCTATGTTATTGTTAGTTTTTGTAGTTGACTCAATAAAAGCCACATAATGGTACTAAATCGTTTTGGTCATAAATAAACACTTGTTTTTGTACTTCTTCATTCACTTTTGTTTTGGTATTTTGGGTGTCTGCAACACCTATACTGTTCGCTATACTAAGGGGGGATAACGGTCCTTCCACAGGGTTATCCATGCCACCAAAAAGATCAAACTTTTTTTTTAAGTAGATTTTTATGCCCTAAGCCTTTTTTTTATAAATAAAATTTTAAATGTTAATGAAAAAAACAAAATGTTAACAGCTATTGAGATATGGCTTACCCTTTGGAGTGTGTATCTCTTGAGGTCTTCACTGGATGGGATCAGTGAGGGAAGTGTCACAGAAAGTTATCTTCTCAAATTTTTGGGGTGCATGAACAGTTTTGGCAGCTACCTGGAAAGCTTGAAAATAAAATCTTTTCTGCTAATGTTTCTTCTTGTTATTACTTTCCACAAGACCCATGCATTAATTACCCGTCAGTATAAGGTATATAAAATACATGTATACTGAATAATTTCTTGCCATCTGATCTGTTTTCAAACTGTATTATTTTGGGAAGTTTTTTAATTTTTGTTGATTTTCATATTAAAATGATCAGAACATACATTTTATTTTTCCTCCATTAGGGAGTAGCTGCCATATTTGAGTATTTTTAAATCTGTTAGTAACAATGAAATACATATTTACAAAAATTCATTATTCCGCATTTCCATTCTAATGGAGAATGGAGAAATACAATCATTGCATTGGTGAAAACTTTAATAGAGAAAATACTATTTTGAACTATATAATTAATAAGATAATAAATATTTGTAAAAGCTGAAAATATTTATTGTTAAGAAAAGTTGACAAAAGGTCAAATAAAGTGGGTAAAACAGTATTATCCAAATGGAATACTCGATATTTAAAAACTAATACAAAAGCACCTAATTTTTACCTGTATTTTATAGCATGATTGCAGTATTATTAAAATATCGTAATGGTTATCGCTTAAAGGTGTTACATCACAATGTAATAAACATATTCTACAAATTTTAGTAACGTCTACTGTTTTAATATTTGTTATTAATAATGCCATTTGTTTGTATGTGTTAATTAGTTTTAATCACAGATCACAATACACAAAACAAAACATAAAACAATAACATAACCCCCAACCTCACTCTTCTGTTTGGTAATCGCCTTGGCCTTGTCTTGTCGTGGTCTTGTCTAATCTAAACACTTGTGGTCACAAACCATACATACTCTCATACTTGTGGTCATTCATGGCTTCATTTTTTGAAGGTGGTACATATCTCTGGGTTGAACGCACGGTTCGTAGCACTACGGTTGCCTACTCCGACTAACTAATGAACATTAAGCCTGAAATTACGTCACGAGAGTACAGTAATTTTAATCGTAACATTAATAATAGGCGTTTTCATGTCTTTGATGTGTAGAAAATAGTAAAGATAGTTATGAAATAAAAATGTTTAGTGGATTATAATACCTAATTATGGAAAACTGTTGATATGTAGGTAGTTTGATACTTAAAATTAATCAGAATAAAGTTCTAGATTTACGTAAATCTAGGACTTCAATTTCCATTTTACACTGAAAATTTGTCGCATATACTGAATTATCAATACTGGATTAACTATTGAATGAATTACCGGCCCTTAGAGGTCAGCTAGGATTATCCGAGTTAGAATTCCTTGTATAATTTAATGTAAGAATTTAAATAATATGTAATAAACTTTGAAAAATTAAGACAAATATCGAGTACAAGTTTAATCAAATCTTGCCCAAGTACTTTCGCTTTCTACAGCATCATCAGGGGCATTTCGTCAAATTTTGACTATCCAGCAAGCGTAGAAAGTAATACACATGAAAGTGGACATAAAATTGTACAAAACACTACATTAACACAAGGACAAACAGTTTAAAATTATTAAAATTATTCCAACGCTCCTCATACTTTTTGTCAACCGGAGAGAGAATTTCTCTCAAGTGGTATTCACTTTTAAATTCAAAATAATAAAGTATAAAAAGTTTCAACACCGCAACTGTCGAATAAGTGTTACCAATTTATGCCAAACTATAATCTTCGTTCGATTACAGTTACAGTGTGTTCGAACAAATGTTCTTCATAAAAACGCTTTATAATGCATTTATACAAATTAAATGAAACATATTATTATGTATTTCTTTAAGTTAACATTAATAGAAATCTTTAAATATTATTTATACGCGTATATAATAAAATATGTCTAGTAGCTGTAATGCCAGTGTACTCGGCAAAGTGATTCTAAAAAAGAACACACCTACCGCCTAAATATTTCGTGTTGGTATCATGTGACCTCACAAGCTAGGACGTGGATGACGTGCAACGGTAAGTAAATTAGATGAAGTATAGTCAAGAACGCTTCTTCAAGCAACATTTTGGTACAGTTATTTTGTTCACATAGATATCCTTTATAAAACAAGTTTTAATTATTTTTTATTACACATAGGTACAGGTTGATCAACTTGTACTCCAGAGTTCGATACTTCAGATATTTAAAAATATACAGAAAAGTGGTATCTACATAATAATTTAGTCATATACAGCTAAAAATATTCAAATTAATTTCAAATATACAAGGTATTCCCACTTTTAAATTTGTTAATGATCACTTTGTAATGTAGGTACACAAAATTTGTACATATATACTGAACTAAACACAAAATCAAAATAAATAATGATAAAGTCAACTTTATTTAGATCGGATGAGCTAGCTGTCCATCAAATATGAATGTAGTGAGGTCACACAATATTGCACAATGTTTTAAATGACATCTTTCGTCATTTTCACACATAAAATTATCTTAATAGTGATAATATATATGTAAGCACTACGAGCCTAGTCGGCCAATGGCTGATGGACTATTCTTTGTCACAAAAAAATTTGTTAAAATCCTTTATAAAAGGTATATAAAATTGCCTCAAACGGGCTTTCACAAACACATTGCAAAACGTTTTCGGATTAAACAATCCATCATCAGTGCAAACCTGAAAGTATATAACCACTTTAATTAAAAAAGAACGTTAAATGAAAATGTTGACAAAGGTTAGAGCAAAATGTGGTTAATACTTACGGTTGTACATGCTAGTAGCCACCAAAATATGTGGGTAAAAACCCCTTAAAAGTTATAAATTTGAAATTGTTTTACATTATTAGTGTTTCTAATTTGTGATGGTTAAGTTACCGTTGGATAGGTAACATGGTGGCGTATGACTCTACATGAGTAAAATGGTCCTGAGACGAAGTGCCTACGAGGACCTGTTGATAACAACTGATTATAATGACATTGTTGACAAGTTAGGACGGATGTTGTGTCAGAGCAGTCAGTGTAACTTATGGTAGTTGTCTAAAATTGACAGATGTCAGCCTTATTTAAAATTAAAAAAGTTAAAATTATAATAATGTAACAGTATCAACCATCAATATTGTAATCTGTATTGTAAATTAATCAGATAGGTATATTTGTAACATTGAAAATTGGTTTTTTAAAAATTAATGTAGGTCAACTAGAATTTATGAAATTTTGTGGGATTGATAGGCAACCAACTATACATGTGTAAGGATATATTTGTTTTAAGCTAGAGATTTTGTCAAAAGGCCCTGTATGTTGTGAGACATTTGGTACCTAGAAAATGGTAAAAAGACACATGTGGGAAGATGGGTCCTAAAAGATATATTATTGAGTATTGATGTAATAGGTGGAAGTGTGTTTAGATCTGTTATTGAGCTGAAATGTAAATGTGACAAGAATGTGATCATGATGTGGTGTTCATGTAGTACTCAACTTAAAACTTAAGTATGGAAGGCCCTTTATGTCAAAAAACTACATTTGGTACCTAGTAAAGATAAATAAAATAGATTTTTAAGTTATAAGTAAGTAAACATGAATTACTGGTTATGTGTGTAAAGTAAAGATGGTAGGTTGTTTATGTGTCTGGGCAAGTATGCCAGACTGAAAGAAATTTGATGGCTGAAAGATGGTTAGGTGTGATATTGTTCCTACATTGCTCGAGTTATAACTCAAGAAAACAAAAGGCCCTATATGTTAAAAGAAACATTTGGTACCTAAGAAATATAAAAGTAAAAAGGATGAGTTATAAGTTAGAGTGTATGTAGGTGAAAAGTTAACAGGCTTATGGAGTGTATTGTGACAATATGTGGAAATGTAAGAATAATTGTGTTTAAGGTGGATCTGTCAAGTTTACTAAAGATGTGTGATGTTTAAATGTTATTGTGAGGATGAATGGGAAAACTACAAAAGACTGAGGACCACAGAGACCCGAAAACCAAACCCTGAGGGAAATTGGATGAGTGAAAAGAAGTTGTAAATGATAATGAAAAACGCAGTATGAAAAGGTGAAGACGTGTGATTGAGTGGGTGATGGTGTATATTAATGAAAATTGTTTTTGGAGAGAATGTGGCATGAACTGCTCTGAAATTATTTTGTTGGGAAGGAGCATGGAGAATATTGGTTATTAGGTCAGATTTGATGTTTGGATGCCTAGACAGAAGTGAGGGAAGAAGAGAGAGAAGTGAGGAGTTAAATATATTGAACAAAGTTTGAGGGGGCTAAGGATGATTAGTAGGTGATAAGAGAAGGATGAGAATTTAAATAATAATGAAGAAGTAAGTTTGATAATAAGTTATGAGAATAATTGACGGTGGAGCGGAAGAAAGTCTCGATTAAATGAAACATGGCGATTGACACAATTTGGACTTCTCTGTTTTTCTTTAATGATTTCTAGGTCTTCATATAGGTCTAATTTGAGAATTTTAACAAATTTTTTTGTGATATATGGTATACAGCCAGCTACAGGAACTTAGTTTCCTCGTGGAATTTTATTCTTTGTCACTCCATTTTCTTTCTCAGTTCGTTACGTTAAGTCTTCTCATATCTTCTTTAACTTCGTTGCTCCATCGTGACCTCGGTCTTCCTCATCTTCGCGTTTTGCCTGCCAATGCACTAGGTAATACCATTCTGGGAATTCTAGATGGAATTATTCTCTGCACATGGCCCAAACATCTAAGTTTTTGAAGCTTAATTACCGCTAATATGTTGCCACAATATTTTGCGCTCCCAAAATAATAAAAATTCCTAGTGTTTTTTTGTTGTGACCCATTTTTCAGAAGCATACATTACTATTGACCTTATTACGATCTTGTATGTCCTTAGTTTTGCTCTTCGAGATATATTTTTTCGAGATAAATGAATGTGCTAGTCACAATCCCTTTGATGTTCTGATACAACTTTACTGACAGGTGTTTACCCACCGTTCGGTTCATCCTCTCGACCATTCCATCTGATTGAGAATGCAAGGGTGTCGTTCTGATCTTATTGACACCAATCAACAATCTTACAAATGTTTTGGAAAAGGGTCGACTCGAAGTTTTGCGCTTGGTCGAAGTGGATCTCAAATCGGTTAAAGAAGTCTTTAACAAGTACCTCTACAACGGTAGCAACTTCTTGATTTGGTCTTGCATAGGCCTCAGTCCATTTAGTAAAATAATCCATGGCTACCAAGATATATTTATTTCCATCATTCGTCTCTGGAAGTGGACCTTTTAGTGTTTCCATAGGACTATTAACATTGTACTGTTTCATGGGTGCCCTCTTTTTACCAACTGGAGCATTACTGGTTGCATACAGTTCACATTTCCGGCACCATCTTCTTACATCATCTTTACAGTTCGCCCAATAGAACCGTATTTGAACCTTTTGCAGAGTCTTCGTAATACCAAAGTGTCTACCTGATGCACCGTCATGCAACTGACGCAGTACTTCTAACACTTTACTTTTAGGTACAATTAACTGAAGCTTAAATTCTGTACCATCATCGTTCTTAAAGGTTCTATACAGAAGATCATCTTTTAGCACTAGGCAATTCTATATTGTTAGCCTAGAAAAAGAGATTATACTCTCTACTACAGCGGAAATAAAAATAATCATATTTTTGACGTGGGATTCATACTGAATAAACGACTGAAATCAGAAATCATAGCTTTCAATCCAATAAGTCCAAGGATATGTAGAAT